CAGTTGCCTTGTCCTTGGTCTAAAATCTTTATGAGAGCAGAAAGCCTTCTCATTCCCCGCTGACCAGCTGGTGGTTTCAAACTGCAGACCTTGTGGTTAGTTACCCAAAGTGTAACCAAACCACCATAACCAAGGAACCCACCAGGGCTCCTTGTTATATGGTAAACACTTAGTAAATGTTACTTGCCCGTAGGCATTTATTTGAATCTCCTGGATTCCGGGTAAAGCACATCACCTGGTTCAGTTGGTGCACTCAAGTGTGTTTGCTGTTACTATTTTTGCTGTTCCATTTTTGCTTGCTGTGATGTGACTGCTGTGAGTAAATCAGTATTTATTGAGAACCTGCCATATGGTGACATTGTCATCCTGTTTTAAGGAGTACGTTATCGTAGTTTACACAGACTAATAAACAGGCGACAGTGATAATGCCATAAGTACTGCAGCCGGTGTTATGACCACTTAAGAGTCATAGTCACGTAAGTTATGACCACTTAAGAGCTGGGATCCGAGAAGGCTTCTAGAGGAAATATCTATGTGTGTGTTTGGAAGGTGGGAGGAGGGAGGAAGGAAAGATGATTGATCCAGGCTGAGGGAAAAGCAGTTCTTGAGAGCAATCAAGGAATTAGTACCCATTTGGCTAAATATTATGGAGCAAGAGCTGTAACCTGGAGCTGGTGAGGCAAACTAGGACCAGGTAAGCCACTCAAAGGAATGTAGATATTATAAGGTAATGTAGAGGCCCCTCGGTGGCACAGATGGCTTCTGCTCATTCACTAATTTAAAAGTTGCCTCTGAAGAAAGGCCTGGAAAACTGATTTCATAAAGCTTACATTCAAGAAAATTCTATGGAGTAGTCTCCACTAACACATGGGATTGCCATGAGTCAAAGTTGATTCAGAGCAATGCATTATATTTTATTTTTTTAAGATGAGGTGGGAGATACTACGGAGAGAGGGCCTGTGATTAGATTTTCATTTATAAAAGATTGCTTTACTACCCTCTACATTATGGAATGAAGGGGAAACAGTTTCAACCCCACTTGTCTGTTAGTGTGTCACACTGTGGTGGCTTGTATGTTGCTGTGATGCAGGAAGTTAGGTCACTAGTATTTCAAATGTCAGTAAGGTCACCCAAAGTGAACAGGTTTCAGCGGAGCTTCCAGACTAAGTCCAGTCATCAAATGATTTAGCTCCCTACTTCAGAGGAAGTTGCCGCTGAAAGCCTTATGCATAGCTTCCAAATAGTGTCTAGTGTCAGATACTGAAGGCATAATGCTGGGGTCCTCAAACTATGGCCCGCGGGCCACATGCGGCCTGCCGAAGACATTTATCTGGCCTGCTGGGTGTTTTTGCCGTCCGGCCCTCCAAAGGTCTGAGGGACAGTGAACTGGCCCCGTTTAAAAAGTTTGAGGGCCCCTGGCAGAACATTGCCTGAGATGGTGCTTGAGGAGGGCTCACAAAATGTAACTGAGGAGGATCTGATTTCTCGGAGTGGAGTTGCCTAGGGTGACGTGAGTCAGGTAAAGCCCGTGGGAGTGGAGTCTTTGGGGTCTGCATTTGCTGATGGGACACAACTCATGGTAAGGAGAAGTAGCTGCAAAAATCTAATAACTCTTTTGTCTTGTTTTGTTTTTGTGCTATTATTGTTTTCGAATGTCTATCTAGATAAGATAGGATAAACTATCTTTGGGAGGAAACAATGGGACCAATGGTTCTGGGGACACTGGAGAGGTGGAGGCGGAGGAAGGAAGAGGGGAGCCAATAAACCTAGGGTCAAGGAAACAAGTGATCTAAAATCAATTGCGAGGCGGGTATAGGATGCCTGGTGGGGAGTGATCAAGTGCATTGTAGCCAAGAGGAATTAATGAAAGTCAAATGAAGGCTGACCATGATAGTGGGACAAGAGGAAAGTCAAAGGGAATAGAGGAAAGAACTAGGAGGCAAGGGATATTTATAGAGGTCTAAGTACAGGCATGTACATATGTAAATATATTTATATATAATGATAAGGGAACTAGATCAATGTACATACATTTACATGTTAAGTATTATAGTAGCAGACAGACATTGGGCCTCCACTCAAGTACTCCCTTAATGCAAGAACATTTTGCTCCAATAACCCAGCATTCTGTGATACGCAGCTTCCCAATAGGATCGCTGAAGACAAAATGGGTGCATAAGCAAATGTGGTGAAGAAATCTGATGGTGCCCAGCTATCAAAAGATATAGTGTCTGGGCTCTTAACAGCTTGAAGATAAACAAACGGCCATCTAGCTGAGATGCAATAAAGTCCACTGGGAAGAAGCACACCAACCAGCCTGTGTGATCAAGAGGTGTTGATGGGATCAGGTATCAGGCATCCAAGACCCAGAACAAAAAGAATCATATCATTGTGAATGACGGGGAGTGTGGAGTGGAGACCCAAAGCCCATCTGTAGACAATTGGACATCCCCTCACAGAATGGTCACAAAGAAGAGACAAGCCAGTCAGGGTGCAGTATAGCACCGATGAAACACACAACTTTCCTCTAGTTTAATGCTTCTTGAAGAAAGCAAATGGTCATTAAAACAAGAAAAAAGAAAGAAAAGATCAGGGTGTGTGTCAGAAAAGACTCTAAAACTTGTTCTTAATCGTAAAGTAGCTAAAGCAAATGGAAGAATGGTTGAAGTCAAAGAGCTGAATAGAAAATGTCGATGGGCAGCTTGAGAAGACAAAGTAAACTATTGTAATGAAATGTGGAAAGACCTATAGTTAGAAAACCAAAAGACAAGACCCTGCCCAGCATATCTGAAACTGAAAGAATTCAAGAAAAAATTCAAGCCTTGAGTTACAATATTGAAACATTCTATGAGCAAAATATTGACTTGCAGGAAGCACCAAAAGAAAATGAAAAGAATAAAGAGTCACTGTTCCAAAAAGAACTAGTCAGTATTCTACCATTTCAGAATGTCACATATGAACAAGAACCAGTGGTGCTGAAGGAAGGCATTCAAGCTGCATTGAAAGCATTAGCCTAAAGCAGCCTTCAGGAATTGCTGGAATACCCAGGGAATTATTTCAACAAGCTGATGAAGCACTTTACTCATCTGTGTCAGGAAATTTGGAAGGCAGCAGCTTGTCCAGCTGACTGAAAGAGATCCATAGTTGTACCCATTCCAAAGAGGGTGGCCCAAACTATAGAACAATATAATTGACATCACATGTAAGTAAAATTTTGCTGAAGATCATCCAACAATAGTTGAAGCAGCACATTGACAGGGAGCTGCCCAGGTTCAGGCTGAATTCAGAAGAGGCCGTGCAACAGTGGTTATCATTTCTGATGTCAGATGGATCAAAGCAGAGAATGATCGTGGCTCAAAGCAAAAAGATGTGTACTTACATTTCATTGACTATGCCAAGGCTTTAAATTGTGGATCTTGCCAATGCATAGCCTTGAGAAGAATGGGAATTCTAGAACACTTCATTGTCCTCATGAGGAACATGTACATGTATCAAGAGGTGGTTGTACAAACAGAATAAGGATACTGCATGTTTTAAAACCAGGAAAGATGTGCAACAGGGTTATATCTTAATATACTTCTTCAATCTGTATGCTGAGCAGATCATCAGAGAAGCTGGATTCTGTGAAGAATGTGACATCAGGATTGGAGGAAGGCGTATTAACAACCTGTGATATGCAGATAATACAACCTTGCTTGTTCAAAATGAGCAGGATTTGATGCACTTGCTGATGAAGGTCAAGGATTGCAGTCTTCAGTATGGATTATGACTCAATGTGAAAAAGACCAAAATCTTCACAACTGGATCAATAGGTAGCATGATAAATGGAGAAAAGGTTGAAATTGTCAAGGATTTTGCCTTGCTTGTATCCACAATCAGTGTTCATGGAAACAATTGTCAAAAGATAAAAAGATGTGTTGCATTAGGTCAATCTGCTGCACACGATCTTTTTATAGCATTGATAAGTAAGGATGTTCCTCTGTGGACCTAGTGCACCTAAGCCATGGTATTTTCCGTTGCCTCACATGCATATGAAAGTTGAATATTCAATAAGGAAGACTGAAGGAGATTCAATGTTATTTGAAGTGTGTTGGTGAAGATTAGTGAAAATAACCGTGGACTTCTTGGTATGAGCAGGGTGCGCTTTAGAGGGAAGAATGGCAAAGCTTTGTCTTACCTACTTTGGACATGTCAGGAGGAATCAGTTCTTGGAGAGACATGCTTAGTAAAAGGAACAAGAGGAAGGCCCTCGAGGTGGATCGACATAGTGGCTTCAACAGTGGGCTCAGGCATGGGAGTAGCTGCGAGGGCGGCACAGGACTGGGCTGTGCTTTGTTGTTGTTTGCACATGGTCACTGTGGGTTGCAACTTGATGGCGCACCCAGCAACAACAGCTTCAGTGATGGTGAGAATTAACTATCTGTTGACCAGGCATGGAGATCTGTTGGAGTTTTGAGGGTAAATGAACACTTAAAGGTGTGATTCAGGAAAGATGAATTGTATGCATTCCTTGATTATGCTGGTTTTTTAACTTGTTCTTTTATTGTTGTAAACTAATTGCACACATTTAAACAGTTGTCCTGACCCTGTTGTTGTACAGAAGTCTTAAAAATTTTTCAACTAGATTGTTTTAACTGGTTAGAATGCAAACAATTCCTTTCATGTAAACACTTTGAATATATATATATATAATTCCATTAAATCCTCGAGGCATAGTTCAATAATAATTCCTATTTTAGCCTTTGAGGCCTATCATCACCATCACCACCACACATTTTTAGTTCCAGGCTCTTGAAGAAGTAGGCACCGGCTATAGTTTGCTAACCAGTTGTCTAGCTGCTAACTGAGAAGGTAAAGATTGGAGTCTATGTGGAAGTTCCTTGAAAGAAAAGCCTGGTGCACTTTCTGAATAACAACCTGTCAAGCCCCCTTGGAACAGAGGTTTACATGTGTTCAGAACCTATTCCACTTCAACTGGTTCGGTGTGTTGGTTTTATTATTTTCTATTATTATTAATCTTTGATTTTATCATGTTTTTAGGAAACTGATTATTGTCTTGTGATTTCTTTAAAAACAACTCTTATCATAATCTTATATCATATCATTCTCTTACCATACTCATACATACATCCATTATGCCATGCACATTGGTACATTTGTTTCCATCATCATTTTCAAAACATTTTCTTTCTACTTGAGCCTTGGTATCAGCTGTAATGTTTGCCTGCTAGCCAAAAGGTTGGCAGTTCCAACCCATCAGCTGCTTCACAGGAAAAACATGTGGCAGCGTGCTTCTGTACAGATTTACAGCCTTGCAAACCCCATTGGGCAGTTTCACTCTGTCTCATAGTAGTGCTACGAGTTCAAATCCACTCAGTGACAAATAGATATCCAGAAACTCAACATTAGGCAGTTGTTTATTTTTTTCTTTTATCCAATCTGTTTTGCTGTTTTAAAAAGAATTTCAAAATTGTATCACATTTGAGGTGATAGTTTGCACAGCAAATTAGGTTCATGTTTAACAATTTCTGTACAGATTGTTCCATGGCATTGGTTCACTTTCCACAGCAGGTCCACCTTCTCAGCATTTCCACTCTGTGTCTTCCATTTCCATTAAGCTAGCTTCTCAGCCCCTCCTTACCTTCTCATCTTTGCTTTAGGATAAAATTATATTTCGTGTAACTAATTAGCTAAGGGAGCACAGTATTCACAGTTGATACTATTTATTTCAGGGTGAAAATATAGGGTCTAATAAAGACCAGTAACTTTCCAAAATTCATAGCAAATTAGTGGCAGAGCCAGGACCAGAAGTAGTTGTCTTCCTTCATGGTTCAATTCTCTTCCTGTTACATGTCATAATGATAAGAGGATGTTCATGATGATTATTTGTATGACAGAATAAGTCCTACCTGATGGCCCAGATATTTTAAGTAATGCTTCATTTATATCTCTAATTCTGAAATAATATTAACTACCTCCTAAAGCTTTAGGAGGATTTGTTGAATTAGTCTTGCATTTCATTAGCCTTTTTAATAGAAATAAGAGCCTGAAGATAAGCGGCAGGAAGAAGAGAAAACAAGGGCATTGAAGCCAAACTCAATTCTTCTTTTTCTTTTTTAGGTTCCTTTGAAACAGGGCAGAAGTCTCATGGATTGGATCCGACTGACCAAAAGTGGAAAGGACCTGGCGGGACTGAAAGGAAGGTTAATTGATGTAACTGAAGAGGAACTTCAAAAACATAACCAAAAAAATGATTGTTGGATATGCATAAGAGGTGGGTGGTATTTTTCTTGTGTACTTCAAAAGTTATTGATTGCACTTTAATGCTATGTAACCCCTTGAGTATGGTACTCAGTGATAGAGTTCATAATTACATAACAAACGTATGCTTTGTATTAGGCAGAAAATGTTATAATTCTGACTTTGGACAGTATTTATTCCTTACATAATAATTTAATCTGATTCAAAAAACAATGGATGTCTGAAATGTAAAATTGTTTTTAGCATCCCTGTACTGCATTCTCTTTGGAAGGAAACACATGTTGGTCAATTTAATTCCAAAGTAGCTCATAGCTATCCAGTTTATTTGAGTAACTTTCCAGTGCCTTGCAGCAAAATTTTGTCAGGGGAAAAATTGTTTCTGGAAATCTGGAGTAAGGAGTAAATCAGAACACCCTGCATAAACATTCCTTTCTTTCTTTCTTTTTT